CTATAGCGCGAGTGTCTGGCCCAGCCTAGCCTCAATAGTGGAAAAAAAAAAACCTATAAATTATCAGTAGCTCATTTAGTAATGAACAATATTCTCTCTCTCTCTCCCCCTAAGTAACTTTTAATAAAAAAAAATCACGCCAACGAAAGGACACACACACACACACACACACACACACACACACACACACACACACACACACACACACACACACACACACACACACACACACACACCTAGGACATCTTTATTGGGAATATTTCGGTCCTTGGAACTTGGTCATTCCAATAAAGATGTTCCACGTATATGCACTTGTCGACTTTCAGCCATATTGTCGGTATCGAAGGAACACTACCTACATCTGCCTACTTCGGCCAGTAGGCCGAAGTAGGCAGATGTAATTCACTCCTATTCAAATACAAGCCCAACTTATATTTAAAACTACCCAAAGTTTTTGCCTCGGCGACGCTGCCTGGGAGTTTGTTCCAATCATCTACTACTCTACTTCTATACCAGTATGTTTCTAAATTTAAATTTTCCAACTATATTTATTCTTGTTTTCCATATTTACACATCAGACATATTTCTCCTACTTCTACGTCTTACCAGAGTTCAAATGCAAGGCCCTAAGCCTATTTTTGTAAGAAAGGTTTCTAATAAAAACTCTGGAGCTTTATGGAACAGGATAACCTACACAACTAAAACCAGCTTGGATTTAGACCAGGAGGATCATCTGTCATAGCTAAACCGCTATAATAGAGTTAAGGAGGCATTTGGAAAAAAAATAAAAAAAACCTTTGACGGATGTATTCATTCATCAAATACCCGTAGTACTGCAACTCATTTGTCTCCCCGCCTCCCACACACTTTAGCAATGACTCACTCGATTGAATTAGCCAGTGCTGTCACCCCTGCGCTAGAGATGCCCCCATCGATTGCATATATATCATGTTTGCCATTGAAGTTACCCCAGTTATCAGTGAATGGATTTCCAAGTTCCCTACAATACTTGTCTAGTGCCAGAAACTAACCCTCATTGCCCTAGACATCCATTTACTGCCCACTTCTCGTCCAGGCAAAGTGCGACATTTGATAGGAATCCCTTTGTTGGACCTAATTAGATCAATAGCTGCCTTATAATTGGCCAGCAGCTCTTCACACTTGCATTTCCCAACATCATTACCTCCAGAATGCGATGAAACGCTTGTTTCCTTACTAACGTAATCTCCAATCCTGAGACAGATAATAAGGTTGTTCTCATTGTCTGGCATGCTTTGTTTTAACCTGTCAAGTACATCACCCACACCTGCTCCAGGAAAACACTCCCTCTGTCTTGCCTTCTTATTCCTATCACAGAAAACCCAGTCCATATATCAGTCTGAGAATCTCCAACAAGAATGCACTTTTTTTTTCTCTCATGCTGAGGCATTTGTTCTGTCTTTTTATCCACAACTGCACATTCATCCTGAAGAACTGCAAAGCTATTTCTGTTCTCTAACCCAATATTAACCTTCCTCAGTTTCATCCTCTCACTCCTTGTAACACTATTTTCCATTCCATACATTCACGTTTCCCTTCGTTTTTGCCAAACACCTCATATTCCTTATTGCGATTACTATCTTATCCAAATGAGATCTTAATTTCTCATTCTCCTTTCTAAGAACTGTAACCTCACCTTGGAGAACTAGAACCTTTACAACTCTTAAATCTGCTTCTAGAACCCTACAATGTTCATGACAGCTTATTGCACCAGCAATTGTTTCTTGTGTTCAGACACTTCACTTAAAACTCCTTGAGAAAGTCACACAGGTCCACACTTCCTCCCCTAACTACTGACCTATTTAGGCTATATAGCTGTACATATTTCAGTAATATAAGTGTCATTGAGCTGTGTTGACATGGTTATTAAACAGTTTTCCCAAATTTGAAATTGAGAACTTGGCAGCTGATAGGAGAAATTATTTTTTCTAATTTTCCTGTTACTTTTCTCCTGTTCAGTGTTGATATTGATCTTCAAGACTATAAAAATGGACTATTAAACTTTTTGGGAGGTCTCACATATATCACTTGATAGGTTTGAATGTCTCCAAAAAAAACTATAGACAATCTAGATTTCAACTTCAGTTTTCTATTGTAATCGGCATTTTACTGCCACTTTTGTGCTTCCATTCTAATCTTGACTTAGTGATGTACATCATTGCAGCTCCGTTCCTCCTGGAAAACGCTATTCACGCTGACAAAAGTTGACAAGTTCACTCAGAAGCAACTTGTCTCAGCTGCCTCCAGTGTTATATGTCTCAGATCACTTTATTAAAAAATATCCTCATTAGAGAGGATGAGGGTGAATTCATCAATGAAGTGTATGCTGAGTACTTGATAAATATGGAATGTAAAAAAAAAATTGATAACAGACCAAGTCTTTTATCTCTACTGGCTATGTCACAGTGACAGCCTGCGGTGTCACTGTGACTACCAACGGTGTCACTGTGACTACCGACGGTGTCACTGTGACAACCAGCGGTGTCACTGTAACAACCAACGGTATCAGACTAGGATGGTGTCACTGTGACTACTGGCGGTGTCACAGTGCTCTACTGTAGTGTTGTGTCTAAGGTAACTCGCCGAGGATAGCTGAAGATTGACTGTGGTCTCATATTGCCACATTTTATGCTTATAACTGCCCTCTCACCTTCACCCTACCAGATGTACGCCTGATGGTGATGGTTGTCGATATGAGTTTTCCAGAGCATAGTTCTAGCTGCTCAGACAACTTATGTTCCGAACAGGGAAATTAGATCAAACAAAAAATGACCCTAAATGGGTAAATAATACATTAAGAAGTAGCATGGCATCAGACCTACTAGCACAAGCTAGTCAGGTCCAACTCACACCCACTCATGTATTTATCTAACCTATTTTTAAAAATACACAACGTCTTAGCCTCTATGACGGTACTCGGGAGTTTGTTCCACTCATCCATAACTCTATTACCAAACCGGTGCTTTCCTATATCCTTCCTGAATCTGAATTTTTCCAACTTAAAACCATTGCTGCGAGTCCTGTCTTGACTAGATGTTTTTAGCACGCTATTTACATACCCTTTATTTATTCCTATTTTCCATTTATACACCTCAATCATATCCTCCCTAATTCTATGCCTTTCTAGAGTGCAGATTCAGGGCCCTCAGTCTATCCTCATAGGGAAGATTTCTGATACACGGGATCAACTTTGTCATCCTCCTTTGTACGTTTTCCAGAGCATTTATCTCCATTCTGAAATATGGTGATCAAAACTGTACAGCATAATCTAAATGAGGCCTAACCAATGATATATATAGTTGAAGAACCTGAGGACTTCTATTATTTATGCTTCTTGATATGAAGCCAAGGATTCTGTAAGCTTTACTGCGAACACTTGTGCACTGTTGTCTTGGTTTTAGATTACTGCTAACCAGAGCTCCCAAATCCTTTTCGCAATCAGTAATATTAAGATCTACATTGTTTAGTTTCCCTGTCCAATGTCTAAAACTTTGCATTTGTCTATATTAAACTGCATCTGCTACTTCTCCGACCACTGCATCAGTCTATTCAAGTCTTCCAAGAGTGCTCTAATATCCTCGTCATATTGAATTCGACGGCCTGTTTTGGTGTCATTAGCATACTTGCTTATGTCTCTTTTTATTCCCTCATCTATGTCGTTTATGTAGATTGTGAACAACAAGGGGCCCAACACTCAGATTTCCCCACTCGGATTTCTCCCCATTTATCCAAACTCTCTGCTGCCTATCTGTCAACCACGCCTCTATCCATGAATTTTTTTTTTTTTCATATCCTGTGTGCCGTAATTTCCCTCGGTAGTCTCTGACGTGGGACTCTATCAAGAGCCTTACTGAAATCCATATACGCAAATCATATTCATTACCATGATCTGCCTGTGCTCCAGATTCTTCACGACTACGGTGCTCTTCACACCAACTCCAAGGCTGAGGGACTGATTACCTCATCTTTTGTATACAGCTCTTGTCTACAAATTATGTCCTAGAATTTGTAATGATATTGCCACTTAATGGCGATACGCTTACATTGAAGTTACCCAGATGTTGCGTATGTGTCTAATTTTAAAAAAAGTTAATAAATTCGTAAGGCAGGAACGCTCTTTTGTAAAACCCTGGTGAGACTCATTGATCAAGTTATGCTTTTCAAGATGGCTACGGATTGCCTGGGCAATTGATTCCATAAACTTTCCTACTATGGAGGTTAGGCTTATTGGTCTATAGTTCGAAGCTAAGGACCTGTCACCTGCTTTGAAAATAGGTACATATCACATTTGCCATTTTCCACTTATCTAGCACTATGCCAGTTTGTAGTGATATGTTGAAAAGATTAGCCAAAGATTTGCTAAGCTCCTCTTCACATTCCTTTAGAACCCTTGTGTATAACTCGTCAGGGCGCGGGGATTTGTTAGGGTTTAATTTATCAATTTGTCCAAGGACCATGTCACTTGTGACCCTAATCGTGCATAGTTTATCATCATCCTGTTCTACATAATTTATTTCAGGAATATCGCTAGTATCTTCCTGTGTAAAAATTGAGAGGAAGTGTTAAAAATCTACACATTTCCTGATCACTCTCGGTGAGCTGACCCGAGTAACTTTTGAGTGGGCCTACGTTGTCCCTAATCTTTCTTCTGTATACCTGAAAGAATCCTATGCGACGTTGACCTCATAATCTCTCTTTGCTTTTCTTATTCCCTTTTTTATTTTTCTCCTGAACTGAATATATTGATTTCTTAACTGCCTCTCTTCTCCTTGGATTCGCCTATATCCACCTCTCATTTGACCAGAGATGTTTTAACCTTATTGGAGGTACTGAACCCCGCGAGTTTCATCCGTACATTCACCGAACTCTTCGTAATTGGAAAAAAAATGAAATATAATTTCTTCAAAATATGATTTTAATCAAAACTGCAAATCAATGTGACTTTTGCTGTTGCCTTTCAGAGACAAGTCCAGAAATGCGCGGCTTCACCTTGCCAAGTGCCTCTCATATCATGTTCGCAACAAGGTTTGATGTCTACCATCCTGGAAAAGGATTGCTCTCAAAGATACCTTGTAACAAACGGCGTGAGTATCTTAAGAGCTTTCTTTGCAATAAGAGGGTAACGCTATGATTTGGTGACACCAAAACGTTGAGAGCGTTGTTGTTCTGAAGAGTTGCTGTTGAACCTGGCTCTGCTGAGGTTCAATGATTTCGTCAAGAGTCATACGAGTGGGGTGAACGGAACGGAACGGACGGACGGACGGACACACACACACACACACACACACACACACACCGTATTTCTTCAGTCATAGAGTAGTCAGGAAGTGGAATAGTCTATCAAGTGATGTAGTAGAGGCAGGAACCATACATAGCTTTAAGACGAGGTATGACGAAGCTCATGGAGCAGGGAGAGAGAGGACCTAGTAGCGTTCAGTGAAAAGGCGAGGCCAGGAGCTGAGTATCGACCCCTGCAACTACAATTAGGTGAGTACACTGTGTGTGTGTGTGTGTGTGTGTGTGTGTGTGTGTGTGTGTGTGTGTGTGTGTGTGTGTGACCTCTGCCGAACCCCTGAGACTTACTCACCGAACCCCTGGGGTTCGATCGAACCCAGGTTAAGAACCACTGCATTAGGGTATGCAAGTGTGTGGCCGGCGGGTGATATATTGGCGACCACGAGAATAGTGAAGATTAATTAATGACTCCCGACAGAGCGCTTAGGGGAGGCGACGCTAATAAAAGGAAAGGTTACACTACAAAAAAATGTAAGAAATCCATTTTCCAGGTCATCTAGCTGGATGCATGCGTGTGTGGCTGGTTGTCTGGCTGCGTGTATGGCTGAGAGACCAGGGCAGCTAAAATTGCTGAAAGCCATTTGTACTCGCCTCTTTGTGGTTGCAAGGGTCGGTTCTAGGCTCCGGGTCTTGCGTCTCTAACTTGCCACTTGTGTTTACTCCAGGTCTAATACGTCCTGACATACCTATTCTTAAAACTGCGTGTGGCGCCTGCTTCCACTGATCGCACTGTGACTCCTGTTTTTTTTTTTTTTTTTTCCCGTCCGTGTGTTCTCCTGTACTTGTTTTCCGCATCTCTAACAGTGTATCCATGTCCGCCTGCGAGTATTTTGTATTTCCTTATCATGTCTCCCCAGGTTCTTCTATTCTCCAATATAGTTAGGTTCGGTCCCTTGTACCCTGTCCTCATGGCTGATTTTCGTTAGCTCTAGAACTAGTATCCTGGAATACCTTTGCATGTTTTTTTCCTCCCGATTTGTTAACATGGTCCCATGCTGGTGCTGCATAATCCAAGACTGACCTGACCTATGTTAAGGATAAGATAGAGGAGTGTTGGTTACAGCCGCTTATGTATTTTAATATTCTGTATATGAAAGATCGTCCTACCTTGATGGGGGGGGGGGGGGGAAGGCTGGTGAGGTTAAGATAAAAAAAAATTACCCTTATTAAAATTAAGTTTTATTCTGGTAGGGTGAGAGAGTCAAGCGTCCTGCACAGTGTCTGAGAACATGATCGTTGGGTTGTTGCAGAGTTGTACATTAAGCTCTTTAATACTTGTTGACAGTTTTCCATGTTTTCTTCTTTGTTTTCCTGTTATCTTCCCTCTTTCCTTCACTTTCCCTAAAATATCCACTTTACCGCTATCCTTCCCCTACGCCCTAACTTACAACTGCACCTTTTCTCCCCCTTCCGCCCCTCCCGTCTGCATAGTGTTGCCTCGCCCCTGCATTCTTGTATCTCTTCCCTACCCCCTCCCTCCCTCTAATACCCGAGGACCCGTCCCAACGTCTCTTCCACCCTCCACCTCTCTCCCCTTATAACTTCCCTCTTCTCCCAGTGTCGAATCCCTTTTCCCTGTAGTCATTTTTCCTACTTATTCCATGCCCCTTCCTCCTTCCCCTCCTTTATTTTTCCTCTAGAGCCCCCAACTCTCTAAGGTCCACCACCCTAGCAGCAGCAGCAGCAGCAGCAGCAGCAGCAGCAGCAGCAGCAGCAGCAGCAGCAGCAGCAGAAGAGGAAAAGGAAGATGAAGATGGAATAGGAGAAGGCGACGACATAATCAGACCTGCAGATATTTCCTGTACTAAATTATAACCGCAAAAATCTGAGGGAGTGAGAGGGTGAAAATGTGTGTATTAATCACCTGTTTGTCGTTACCTTTGTGGTGGAAATTTGCTTGTAACATAAATACAGACAGTTGGTTATATTGATCCAATTTTAATTTAGTTAATGAAGCCTAGTTCTTACTGTAGGTATTTGAGTCAAGAGTTATAGTGTATGGGATACATAATAAACTAGCCACTACCGTCCACAGGATGCATATGGGGTGAACAATAAACTAGCTATTACGGTCCATAAAACAGATATGGAGTGCATAATAAATTAGCCACTACCATCCATAGAATATATATGGGTGACTGCTCAGCCAGTATTCTGTTGCAGTTGTTGAATTCACCCTCTTTACCTTCGATGACTGGCATGAATTTGCCTAAACGAGTTTACGGGGAAACGCCACCCAGCTCTTAGCTGTACTCCGAAGAATTGTGACATAACTGGTCTTGGCTCGGGTGTCGACGTTTCCCTCTACCTGGAGGGTTTTCCGAGGGTCAACGCCCCCGCGGCCTGGACCATAACCAAGCCTCCCGGTGGATCAAGATCTGATCAACCAGGCTGTCACTGCTGGCTGCAACAGCTAGGAGTCTACGCATGAAGGGAGGCTGTTGAGCAAATAGTCTTCGGCCCCTTATACCTACTGTGTTGTCGTTGTGTACTCGTGACACCTTTGCTTTTCATTAGATGTATATTGCATCGTCTACCGAGTCTTTTGCTTCCGTAGGGAGTGATTTGTGTATGCAGATTTGGGACTGATCCCTTTACGATTTTCCAGGTGCAAATTATGTTGAACATTTTTCGCCTGCGTTCCAAGGAGTACAGGTCAAGGGGCTTTAAACGTTCCCATTATATAAAGTGCTTTCATGGAGCTTATATATGAAATAAAAGTTGTGTACATTATGTAGATAAGCAGTTTTGCCTGCCTTAAAAACGGTTGTTAGTGTACAGCAGTATTCAAGCGTAGAGAGAAGTGACAAAGAAAATCATCACTGGCTTGGAATTCCTCGTTTTTATAGTGCTCATTTTCCAACCTATAAATTTCCTCACTGTTGTGATAATGTCACTGTTATGGCCCTTGAAGGTGAGATCCTCTGATATCACCCCTAAGTCTTTTACATTAGTTTTTTGCGGTACTTAGTGATTAGAATTTGATGTATACTCCATTCTAGCTTATCTTTCCTCAAGTTTTACATAAGGAAGTAATTGAAATTTGTCCTCTGAACATAGTTTTCTGTGGTCCACTGGAACTTGATTTACATCCGCTTGGAGATTTAGTGTTTCAAAAACAGTTGAGAGGGTGACTGTTGAAGGTACCTTGAACAGTAGGAAGATGAATATATCACTAGCCGCGTGCAGTGGCTGCTCGGTTTCTGTTCACACAGTAAATATTGTTAACGCATTTTATACTTGAAGTTTTTACATTGTGGTGTGTTAGAACTTAATATTTTTTTTATGGATATAGGTTGGGTTAGGGCGGCCTAAGTTAGAATTGTGCTGCAAACCGTATGTAAAGAAACGATTTAATTACTTGCGTGACACTTATGCAAATCCTAATATCTGCTAGGGATGATAGTTCTATTCTGTCTCTGAAGACGAGGCTAAGGATAAGGGGCGAGTACTGTGTCTTAGGGAACAGAGCTTTTCACTGTGGCAACATCTGACTTTGTTTACTATTACTCTTTGCGTTCTGTTGGCTAGAAAGCAAAAAATCAATCTGCCAATGTTTCCAGTTATTCCTTTTTGTACGCATTTTGTGTGCTGATACAACATGATCGCACTTGTCGAAGGCTTTCGCAAAGTCTGTGTAGACTACATTTGCATTCTGTTTGTCCTCCAGTACATCCAAGACCACGTCATAGTGATCCAGTAGTTGCGAGAGGCAGGAGCGACCTACTCTAAACCCATGCTGCCCTGGGTTGTGCAATTGTTGGGTATCCAAGTGGTTACCTGGAGGTTATTCCGGGGATCAACGCCCCCGCGGCCCGGTCCACGACCAGGCCTCCCGATGGATCAGGGCCTGATCAACTAGGCTGTTACTGCTGGCCGCACGCAGTCCGACGTACGAGCCACAGCCCGGCTGATCCGGCACCGACTTTAGGTATCTGTCCAGCTCTCTCTTGAAGGCAGCCAGGGGTTTATTGGCAATTCCCCTAATGCTTGATGGGAGGCTGTTGAACAGTTTTGGGCCCCGGACACTTATGGTGTTTTCTCTTAGTGTACCAATGGCGCCCCTACTTTTTATTGGCGGCATTTTGCATCGCCTGCCCAGTCTTTTACTTTCGTAGGGAGTGATTTCTGTGTGCAGATTTGGGACCATTCCTTCCAAGATTTTCCAAGTGTAGATTATGATATATCTCTCCCTCCTGCGTTCCAACGAGTACAAGTCAAGTGCTTCCAAGCGTTCCCAGTAGTTAAGGTGCTTGACAGAACTTATACGTGCAGTAAAGGATCTCTGTACACACTCTAGATCTGCGATTTCACCTGCTTTGTATGGAGATGTTAATGTACAGCAGTATTCCAGCCTAGAGAGAACAAGTGATTTGAAAAGGATCATCATGGGCTTGGCATCTCTCGTTTTGAAAGTTCTCATTATCCATCCTATCATTTTCTTTGCACGTGCGATCGTGGCACTGTTGTGATCCTTGAAAGTGAGATCCTCAGACATTACTACTCCCAGGTCCCTTACATTATTTTTCCGCTCTATTGTATGGCCGGAGTCAGTAGTATACTCTGTTCTAGTTATTATCTCCTCCAGTTTTCCATAACGGAGTAGTTGGAATTTGTCCTCATTGAACATCATATTGTTTACCGTTGCCCACTGGAAAACTGTTTATATCTTCTTGGAGGTTAACCGCGTCCTCAGCAGATGACAGCCTCATGCAGATCCTAGTATCATCCGCAAAGGATGATACGGTGCTGTGGTGTATATCTCTGTTTATGTCTGATATGAGGATAA